TTTTTTTTTCAAAATATAGCTTGCTGAAGATACAGGTGTTTTCAGACTCTAATGAGGAAAACGCAATTTATAGCGGTAGAAGGATGACGAGCTACTCCAACCAAACAATGCACCGAAATATGAGAATTCTCAATTGCTGTAAGATTCTTATGAGTAAAGTAGTTATGGGTAAGTCGAGAAAGGGGATTAGGAAAAAAAGGTTATAAACAGTTCCTTGCAATGGAAAAAATCCGATATTCTTTGAAAAAAAATTATCGTTTTAATTTCTATGAAATCTCATTAGAGGACATCATCATATCTAATTTTTGTGATAAAAACATAAAATGATTGCACATTTTCTGCAGCACTGCGAAGTCCATTCCTACCTCTGTAACAAAAGTCGCAGGAAACGTTCCACTGCCTCCAAGTCTCTTACCAGCATCGGTGACAACTACTCCGGTGTGCCATCCTTCGGCAGCAACCGATTCGGAAACTAACATGAAATGACGAAGAGACATAAATTAAAGGTACTAACTGAATTAGTAAGCTTTACCGAGTATAGTGAAAATCCCAAAAGCTAAATCTCCTTCTCTCTGCGCATCATACTGTGCTATAGAGCAAAACACTTTCTCATTTGGAGTCCTAAAGAGTTTCAAGATGAAAGAAGAGACTGAGGGGAAAAAATGGATCATTAAGCATCTCACCTCAATGGATTAGTGATTAAATTAGTCAAAACCTTAGGCACTCGTCCAAATTGCTCATCTAATGTCTTCACGGTGTACCTTAAAATACATTATCACTAAAAATAGAATATAAGAGCATATTTTACTACTTGAGAGCGCTATGCTGCTGCTCGAACTTAATCTGAGGGGTTTTTGATCCCTGAGCAAAAGAATACTAATGATTTATATATTGCGAAAGGTGTACCATATACACATAAGTCACATATGTTGTTTTGCAAGAAGTGCTTATTTGCAAAATAGCATGAAAAAGCGCTTTGCCCTCCTAAGCGTACTGCTACTCACAACTGGCAACTTTCTAATGCGTGAAGATTGCAAGCAGTAATCTTTGCCAGAATCCATCCAACTTCAGAACCTCTAAAAGCAAAAGCGATTTGAAAACTGTAATTAACAAATCTATCCCTATATCTTCCTATCAAATTCAATCACATCCATTTAATAAAGCCTTCATTTCTATACTTATCGTTCAGTAATTTGCATTTATGAAGAAGAAAGCTGGGAACAAAAAATGAGGAAACGGAAGAAGATAGTATTGAGTTCGTACCAGTCACCGTCTTCACCCGTCAGCTGAACCACCTGATCTTGAGCGACAGAGATTTTTGTTTGCGGATCTTCAACTGCATTACTTACTCTGGACCAACATGGGAATGTAATGGACATCTGTGCTATCTGAAAACAACTTTGTTCGTCCAGCATTCATCAATGCAGAGATAGAGCAATGAACGCAATGGTTAAATAGCATAAAAAGCTTAAGGAAGATTACAGCATTTATTGATTTGGACATAGGATATACGTCAGTGTAGGATAACATCTAGATAACAAATCTGGTTAAATTAGAAAATTAAATTGCTTCTAACTTAAATTAGAAGTAAAACACTGGAAAAAAATCGGTCAAAGTGAGTACTCAAGGGAATCAACAAAAGTTGCTCCTTCTTCCTCAAAAATTGTAAAAAAAA